AAAGTCCAAAATTGGACTTTAAGCTAAAAAATACTAATAATCTAAGATGCAAAATGCTGTCTACGTACGTACCTGTCCATGGATTAGGGAAGCAATTGTGAGATACCATGCCGTATAAGAAGTCATTACAAGGCCTAAGAATGACCAAATTCTATAGTTGTGGAATGAAGGAATGAAGACAGTTGTTGCGCAACATGCACCAAAGATGTAGGTCCATGTTCTCTTATCTAGGTTGTCGTTTATGTAGTATATATTGCTGCGAGTTAGTGAAAATAATTAGAATAAAAGTACTGTTAGATATGATGAAATCTATTCAGCCTAACAGGAAATGGAAAAAAAAAAAAGAAGTTCAAACTCTATCATGATTGATGAATACGTAATGATACCTTGCACAGGCAATTAACTGAATGACCGAACCAAATAAAAGAAAAGTGCAGTTGAAAAGGAGGCCGACATTCCTCCAGTGTTTTCCCAGCAGCCCATCAAGAACTTCAAACCACTGCCAACAGCATAATAAAAGATTACTTAACAAAACATAACTAGTAACTCCTAGCTATTTTCTTTTTTTGCTTCTGTACTGTTTTTGCACTGCATGGTACATAAAAGTTCTACAACAGGACTTTTCAGTTAGCATATTTCCAATGCTAGGTTATTAATTCTAGGCTTTAATTTGAATATATAGGTGAAAAACATATTACCTGAATTACATGATTCCTGAAGTCAACCTTTTCTCTCTCTTTTCTAGTTCTATACTCAACATAAAGAACGCTTATAAGGTAAGCAGTCCAGCTTCCCATCAAGCCATAGAACAGTTGAAACAGAATTCCAGATAACATGCCAAGTTGTGAAAATGAGTAAGGCAATGTTAGAAGCACTTGTGCAACCTACAATTCATAAAATATGTGGCATTAGACATGGACATATGTATATATTGCATGATGGCAATGAAACCAGTGAAATAGAAAGCATGCTTGAATGTATTAATTGCCTGATTAGAAGCACAGCTAAACCAAGCATCATATACTGAGCCACCATGCCAAAAAAACTTCGAGAATTTGCTCTCAGAAGACTTGGAACTTTCTTCTTCTCTCTCCATTTCCACGTAGTTTCCAGCAATAACAGTCTCAACTTTCTCGGAAGCCATTGTAGTAGCTTATTACTAGTACTAATGTTGGGGAAGCAATGGACTAAACGGAGTGTCTATAAATAGATAAAACTGCTTCTTTGCTCTGTATTTTGGTATGCTTCTCCTCCTCCTCTCATCTTTATGGGAAAAAAAAAATTGGAGCAATTATTGAGTCACCCAAGTAGGGACCTACCCAGTTGTGTTACCCTTAAAAATGTGATTTTTACTCGTCACATGCTTAATTTCTTAGGGTCTAGCTTTAATTCTCATTGGTGGGTGACATAGCAATGTTCCCGGCATGTGAGAAACTCATTTCACTGTGCCTTTTTATCGCTTCCTATGGGCTTGAAAGTAGAATGGTGGACCCGGGCTCTCATTCATTGCACGAGCGGGGTGGCCCACCACAGCCTTTTTCTAAACCAAAAGGAGCCCATGTTTATAAATAAGCTTATTGATTGAGACTGAAGAGAGATACATATAAAAAGGCAGTGTCGGGGAGAGAAATTTTAAATATTTAGAAGAGGGACTAAAGAAAGATAGGAATGTGGATTTGTACGTTTCGGTTTGTGGAGGTAGAGGCTAAGATGGAATGAATGATTGCTTTGAGAGGTGGGCTTGGTGCTAAACATGATTAGCACCACACGTGTGCCAACTGGCTTTACAAAAGATTTGACATCTTTTTTTTTCACTTCTGATCTTTGATTTTTACGACTAAACTAAAGAATGAAAACTGATTAGGTCCTTCATTTTCTTATGTGGATGTCTGTTCTCTTTGGTCAATTTGATTAGGCATCTTAATCATTACCTTGAATGAATGTCTCATGGAGTCTCAAAGGGGAGGCAAATTTAGAATTGGTTGACATGTCTGAATAATGGAGTTGCAAAATCATCCATTATTGCTATCGATCCCTTCAATCTATCCGAACTCTGAAGGTTTAACTAATTTCACCGAAAGTTGGACCAGAAACATGTTACTGTCTTGAGCAAGTTTGCCTAAACTGGGCCTGAAATTTCATAATTTGAAACGAGATGGGTCATATCTGCCCATTTGCCCTGAAATATTTGAAACTTGCAACTGGGGAGGAGCCAGGAGGGGCTCACTTAGTTTGGACCATCACCGTGTGGTTAAATTCAGTTCAGCTGAATTCAACATCGGTTGTGTTAAGAAACTTTTTTCTATCTTTTATCCTTTAACCTTTAAGGGAGGTATTGACAGTTTAGACTTTAGAGCAAGCTTTTCTGGAAAGAAAATACAGAGTTCTAAAAGTTTTAGGTTGAGATAATAAAAAAGATATCCATTTTGTTTAAGATTTTTTCTTATATTACTTGGAAAACTCTGAAAATCACGAATTTCTTTGTGGAACTTTTCATTTAAACAGTTGGGAATGTCATTATATACATATATAACTAACAGTTGGGAATTTTCTTGTTTATTGGAAGCTTTTCTGTAAAGCAAGTCTTTTGGCAATGAGTAATCAAACAGCTCGCAAATGATGATGGCTGTCTTAAATGGATTGCCTTTAACCAAACATAATTCAAAATGAAAGCAGAATTAATTCTTCTTTTACAGCTATGCTAATTGTCTGAACTCTAATTAACCCCATGATTGAAATTGTTTAAGCTACTAACTTCCCGTTAATCATTATACCTTTCTCCTTTTTTGGGACTAAAGTCACTAAAGAATAGTTATAGCTATAGCTATCCATTGGATCCTAGATAGTTACAATCAATAACGAGCAAATTTGATGACGGCATTACAGATGATCATGAATCAGATGGTAATAATCATTCTTTGTAGGACAGCATCAATGTAAGTTATAGTTGATAACCTGATTGTTACCTGTCCATGTGAGTAGGTCCTGAGCCACATTTCATGAACAAGTGTGAGCATAATAGACCAGTCTTTATGGGTTTAAGAGGGGGACCAAAGAGCTACCGAAAGATGTAAAGGTTGTAAAATACCCCACTTTGACTTGGTACACGTCTTGCAACATCAATCCTAATCTCAAGTTCCCATATAATCTTTTAAATGATTTGGGCTTTTCTGATTCTGGTGTCCAGAAATACTGTGTGACAAGAATGGACCATCTTTACAAGGAGCCGGGCCTGAATTATTCATTAGTGACCAAAGTCAGAAAAGAGACAGGGACCATCATCGCCCATATGGAATGTACAGAGAGAGCCGAAATACGTACTCCCTAGACTATTGTGCAATTGTCATAACTACACAACTTATCTTTTTTGTTTCTGAAACTTGCACCATCACCATCCCATTCTTCAGCAGTCTTGACAAGTTTGGAAAAATGAATGTACATTAGTTTTGCCTAAAATAGACAGTGTAACTTTAAAGATAACGACCATAATAATTGATGTAGTTCTAGTTGATTTATTACGAAAAAACAATTAATCTACTAGATTTATGAAGAAAAATTGCCTAAAATATATAGAAAATGTAACTTTAAAGACAACAACGATAATAATTGACGTAGTTTTAGTAGATTTATAACGAAAAATCAATTAATCTATTATCTGTACTCCCCAATATTTATGAATTACGAACGGATTTAAACTTTACTTTTTCTATTCTAATTTTGCTGATGTATCCGAACATTTAAGCAAATTTTCTGGGAAAAAAATTGCAAATATTTCCATAGAGTGATTCGCTGTTAAGTTTGAAGTTCAAAACTAGTCATGAATTTGCATATTTTTTAGAATAGAGATGGATGATAATACATGGCGCCATGCCGATCGAGTTTAATAGTTGACTTCGGGATAGTATGGCTTGTGGGTTCATTAATCATTTTTCTCAAACCAAAAATTATAAAAGACAAAAGAATCGTATGTTCTCTTAATAACAAACACTAGTATAATTGTATTTTTTCATCATTTTTGCAGTAAGAGGAGGAGGAATGCGGCTTGGAGTTTAAATCTCACTTTTGTTTTAACTTATTAGTATTTGCTTGCAGAATCCCTAATCCTTGTTCGGGGAAAAGGAAACTCCCAATCCTTTTCTTTCATTTCTTTTTTCCTCGTAGGAGTTAGAGGCTAATCCTCATTTAGCAATGCCAGGAAATTCTGTAGTACTTACTAGTTTTGGGTAGGTTTTCGGTGCAAAGTGCAAAGTACACGTTTGCCTATAATTTGGTTACTTGACCCTGAGGAGGTCCAAATCTTTATTAGTGAGGGCTGATAAAAGTCTTTCGTATAGTCATAAAGAAAAGGATCGGCACCAGCCGGTCCATTATAATTGCTCTTTACAGCCATATGTCCATGTGGACAATTAACTGAAGCAAAGCCCAAAGCATACTACAACTGTTTTTCATATAAAGCATACAAATGCAATCATATACATACACGAAAACTGCTCCAAGAATAATCTTTTGCCATCCAATGGAAAAATAAATGCGGTTCACAAGAGATTAATTATTTATGCATAAATTTTCAGACAATTGTTAGATCGGATGGATGATTTGAGAATTTTTGTGCCGTTAAGAAAACTGGAATTTCTGAAAGTGCATAATGGTAGAGTTAATAGTGCTAATATTCTGGCACTCTATAAATCGTAAAGACTAACGAATATTGCTTGTGTGGAAAAATTGGAGAAGGTTAGAAATTAATTAGTTACTTCAATGTGGCAGATTCAGCTGAACCACCCGATGACTTCTTTTTTTGGTTACGGATCCACTGATCACTTTGATGCATGGAACTGAAAAGTAAAGTAGAGAAAAGGGAATGAATGGAACCTGAATAAACTTGCATGAAAGGATTAGGAAAAGAATCATCTAGCTTTGCTCTAAGGCCTTCCCTAGAAAGGACTCACGTTTTGATTTTACCATCTCTCCTTCCACACGCATTCTTCACTACTCCGCTTTATATGTTGGGTCCATTTTCAGTCTTTACCTCTATAGAAAGAAACAAGAAAAGAAAGATGGGACGTCTCATTAATGTGCATTTACCGCTGTTGCTGATTCTACTCATGGTTTCATCAGGTAATTAAACGTTTTCTAAATCATTATCAGTTTTGTTCTTTAATTTGTTAATTAATTTGCTAACTCTATTAATTTATTTAATTATGTCATGGAATACTACAATTTTTTTAGGTCTCAACCTCTCTAATGGTATAAGCCCTTGGTTTGGTAAACTTATTGCTACACAATTGACAATGTAGATGCATATATATCTAAAGAAACAAATTTCTTATTTTAGATTAAAGATTAAAGAGTATTAGGTTTCGTTTAGTATGATTTTAATAAATTGATTGATTTTCTTTTTATTTTGATTGAAAGAAAAATGATTTATATGTTAGGTTAAAATAACTCTTGAATTTAGTAAAAAAATATTGCTATAAAATTGAGTCAAAATTTTGCTTTAATAAAAAGTTGAAATTTTTAAGTTCTATCTCGTGCTACTTTTTTCATAAAAAATTGTTTTGAGTCAATTTTTGTCAAATATATTTTTAATTCAGTTCATTTTATTGCAAGTTATTTATGAAAAATGACTTAATTAAAAAGGAGATAATTTTAGATCACTATCCAGTATTAGATTTCTACAACCTTTTGAATCTCGTTCATTGTATTTTTTTTTTCCTTATTTTTATCCCAATTTTCACCGATGGACAGGGCCAAAAATGACGGAGTGCGCAAGAGTTTTTACCATATCTAATTATTGCAAAGAAACGGTATGGCCGGCTGTCACCCCAGGTGAAAACTTCAATGGTGGTGGATTTGAGTTGAAATCAGGCCAATCTTTTGTTGTAACTGCCCCGGTTGGCTGGAGTGGTCGGATATGGGGCAGAACAGGATGCAAATTTGACAAAAGTGGTAATGGATCATGCAAGACTGGGGCTTGTGGTACATCCTTGAAATGTAAGGCCTCAGGTGAAACCCCTGCTTCGCTTGCCGAGTTTACCCTAACAACACTCGATTTTTACGACGTTAGCCTTGTCGACGGGTTTAATTTGCCAATAACTGTTACACCAATAAATGGAAAAGGAAATTGCAGTGTTGCTGGCTGTAATGCAGATTTGAGAACTAGCTGTCCTTCGGAGTTGGCTGTTAAGTCTAGCGGTAAAGTTATAGCTTGCCGAAGCGCTTGTGATGTGTTCAACACGGATGAATATTGCTGCAGGGGGTATATGGAAACCCTGTAGTGTGTCAACCTACATATTATTCAAAGAAGTTCAAAGAAGCATGCCCCACTGCTTACAGCTATGCGTATGATGATCCTACCAGTATTTTTACGTGTTCGGGAACAGATTATGTTGTCACCTTTTGCTTATCCAGGTTAGTAAACAGGACGATCTACATATATTTACGTTTTTTTAATATATTAATTTTCTATGATTCATATATAATTAGTTGATCAAAATTAAGGCTTATTCTAATTTTCAATATGTTTTGTATAATTTCAGGAAGCAGACGGTTTGTACTTACCATAATAACAAGCTTGTTTGCAATGGATCAAACAGCTTAAAATCATTGATCGGAAAATGGTGGATTCTCATGCTCGCATTATTGCCACTGTTAGCTACTTTCTGATAATAGTTTTTAAATAAAATAAAAAAAGGAACACAGTTTATGTTTTTTAAACTTAAAGAAAGCCTCATCTTTCACGAGCTTTACCTTGTAATATAGCAATTTGTTATCTCTTTGCAAGAGGAATTATTTCGGAATTGAATGTAAATATGCTCATTCTATTTATTTCAACTTAAACTTGTTATTAAAAAAAAAAAAAAAGGTGATTTTCATATCCTATATAGACCATCCTATCCATTTTGGCATCCTGCGGCAGGTTCAATACAATACAATGTTACACCCACTGCAATGGTAGAAATGGATATGGTACTGATTGGGACTTGGAAAAATAATTGTTTCACTAAGCTCAAATTGGTAACTGGCTCAGTCATGAAGTTGTCACTCCCGTTTACACGCACGTGGGGTTGGCACTATTGACACACATGAGCTGAGGCATGCATCCCCTAGTTTAACATGTTGCAAACCGTTTCTATCAAGTATGTTTGGTTAACCTTTTCTCTCAAGTATGCTTGGTGCAAGAATAATTAGGATGAAAATCATTTTCTACTGCCTTTGGTTCACTTTTCGGATAGGACATCAAGGGTTGCAATTACCCCAAATGGTGTTTCTGAAGATTAATTTTTACCCTTTGGACATATGGAGGCCGAAATTTGCCTTTTCACCGTTTAAAGTTTCGATAAATATAATTTCTTTTTACTCTTATCTAATATATATAAATATATATTTTTTTATTTCCCTTTCTTTAATTATCATAAAAAATTTAATTGTTCTCCTAAAAATTTTCCATCAATTATTAAACTTACAGAAAATGCAAACTAAACATTAAAAGCATCGTTCGACTTCCCCATCCTCTGTTTAAATCACAATTAGGCGCCATTTTTTAAACCCTGATCCAAACGCAACTTAAGCCTAAAGAACACTGGACCATAGACAATTTGAGCCGAACTTAAACGCAGCCCACTAAATACAGCCCGAGGCTGCACTTAAGGACGGCCCGTCTTCTTTACATTTCTCGGTGTTGCGTTAGATTACGCAAGACGCGTCCGAAACAAGCAGTGCGTACATATAACGCGGCACGATCTCTATCCCTCCAAACAGAGAAGAAAAACACCAACCGTAAGAGTTGAAAAAAGAAAAGTAAAAAATGGCGAGTAGCGGTGCTGCTGCTGGTGGTGGAAAAGTATCGTTCAAAGTCACTCTCACCTCCGATCCAAAGCTCCCTTTCAAAGTGTGCGTTAATCTCTTTCATATTCTGTAATTTTCTTTTTCATTTTTTGGTTCGTTGTTGAATTTTCTTAATTTTGGTTTATCTTTTAATTCAATGGGTTAATTTCTTGACATATCAGATTTAGCGTACCGGAAGCAGCCCCGTTCACGGCCGTTTTGAAATTCGCTGCGGAGGAATTCAAAGTCCCTCCCCAAACCAGCGCTATCATCACCAACGGTAATTCTCTCATTTTGTGTTTCTTTTTATCATTTTTTTCAAAGCATTTTCTAGCTAGCGTTCGCATATATATAAAATTAGGAAAAATAGTATCGTTTTATAGATATTTTGTCACATGCAATGAGAACATGCAAATATGACAGCAACAAAAAATAGAGGACATAAGGGTTAAGATAATTTTATAAGAGTCTGAGTTAATGTTGGAAGCAAAAGCTTTGAGTGTTAAATAATTGTGAAAGATTTTAACTTTATGCAAGTACAAGATACGAAATGTTCCTCTAAGTATGCATATTCTATTAACTGAGAGGCCTGAACCAATGCTATATCGTAGATCACATGTGGTTTCTCTGAACACCAATCTGACTTTCTGAATTATCTTACTATGAACTTTTTTTTCTTTTTTGGCTGTTACTCCCTGCTAAATTGTTGTTTTGTTTTCCGCTCTTTTTAGAGACTATTATGTACATGGTTTGGGAAGTTGGGTTTTTCTTTATTTTCTCGTTGTTTCTAGACCTGACAAAATCTGTGTGATGCAATAGTTGTTCTGATGGAATAATAGATGTCCATGTTAAAATTCGATTCAGGCAGTGTGATGGAGTGGGTTTCTTTTAATCAGTTTACCAGAGTTGCTTGGTTGACTGTTTTGATCTTTCTCTCTCTCTCTCTCATATATATATATATATATATATATATATATATAACTGGAAATTTCTAAATTTCAAGACATCTTCAATGATTGTCAATTGGGTGAGCTGCTTGCTGACAAATTCAAAATTTTCTTTACATGCTCAAACAATTTTTCATAACATATTACTTTTGACCCCTAAGATTTTTTCTTGTTTTACTGATCATCTTCTCATTTTGTTTAATTTTTTAATCATAACCACATTTATTTTGAAGTACATAGTTGGTTAACAGCTGGTGTGTGCTGTTTTGGGACTCTCGAGGGATTTTTTCATTTGTATTTTTTAATCATGTTGCTTAACGTATTGTTTTTGGTCTCTTGAATTTATAGTTTTGACTTTTGAGGGCTAATGCTCCTAAATCTATGCAAGTGAGAAATAAGAAAACTCAAAATGACCTCTGAGATATATACTTAATTGAGATGCTTGCATAAATGTCGTATTTTAGATTACATTTTGTTTCCCAGAAAACCAATTTGAGTTGGAAAGTATCTCATCTCAAACCGTTATTTTTCTATTCTCTCCCTTGTAGACTGATTTTTCACTCTTATCCTTAAAAAGATTATCCTTTAAACAGTGGGAAAATTGATTGTTTCATGAGTTTGCATTGCCCTTAGACCTTGAGTGATTATTTTTTGTGACATATTAGTTGTTCTGCTGGAATCTCATTTTGTGGGACATATTTTTCCTGCAACTGGATTTGGCATTGCACAGTGTAGTGAGTTCCTTTTAATCAGTTTTAAGTCCTTATTTTGTCATATATAAAACTTGATTTTTTTTCTTCATTTACAAAAGTGCTTTTGATGGTTTTTAATTTGGTGAGCTGCTTCCCAATACCCGATATTTATTTACTGTAGTTACTCCTCGGGGATGAACCAACTTGGTCTTGTGAAGAGGAACCTATTTTGAAACTAAAAGTTACCTGCATTTTAAAGCTAGCTGTTGTAACAAATTGTTTTTATCCCTGAAAATTTTTCTTGTTTTGGTGATTGCCTCCTCATCCCATTTTGTTTGTCACTCATACCCTCTTTTATTCTGAATTTTAGAGTTTTTTAACAGCTAGCATGAGCTGTTTCAGGACTCTTAAGGCACTGTTTGGTTCTTGTATTCAAAAGGTGATCTTTTGATTAGTAAAATAAAACGTTGTTTTGGGACTGGAAAACTCATCGCGCTTACAGTGTTTCATTTGTTCTATGAACCTTGTACCCCCAAGAGTGTCTTCTTTTGGAATAGAAAGGAAGCTGAATTTGGGCCAAACATGTTATGAATGCTCATGAAAGATGGATCTGAGAACTGAAAATAGAGAGTTTCAGTTGGGTTTAAATATTTTTGGATCAACTCTTGTATGGTTTTTGAGAAAAGCTCCAAAATTCGATGCAACTATAAGATGATTAAAAATCTATAGTTTTTTTCCTTTTTAAAAGTGGAGGCTGATCACTTGATGCTTTTGTTCTTATCGGAGGTGCTTAAAACAGTCTCTCATTATAGATTGCATGTTTTGGAATACCAATTTTGAGCTTGGAAAATAATCTTTTTCTGAACTTTTTGTTCAGTCCCTGCTAAACTGTTTTTTCACAACCCACTCCCTTAAAAAGATTGTCTTATTTACATGGTTGAAAAGTCACTTTTCTGCGTTGTTTCTAGATCCTGAGGATTATTATATGTGATGCAGTAGTTCTGCTGGAATTCTATTTTGGTCTGTATTTGTCTTGGACTTTGATTTGGCATTGTGCTGTGGAGTAAAATTATTATTCTCTTTCTGCTTTTCTTTGTCCCGTATCTAAGACCAGAAATTTTTTATCGTGATGGTCCTTGATGATTTTCAACTGAGTTAGATGCAAGCAAACACTTAAAGATCTCTTTGACAAAGTGCTCCTGATTTATGGTTGCCTTGCCACTGGGATTTGGGATTACATAACTGCCATTGACATTGGCATCAGGAAGAGATCAGAAAACTCAAATTGACAGGACTGAGAATTGAGTTTTATTTCATAAATGAATCGGCTGCATTGATCTTTATTATTTCGATGAACATGTGGTTTAAGCCATTTTGATCACTTGTCTTCCTCACGTCTTTCTTTGTTTCTTACATCAAACTTATGGTTTTGACTTCTATGTTCAGATGGAGTAGGAATCAATCCTCAACAAAGTGCAGGTACGTCAATTGTCATGCTCTCTTTATATTTTAAGCTGCTTGTTTTCAGTTAATTCGATGTTTTTCTTCATGGTGTCTCTTCAAGCATTCTGTGATATTAGTATGGTAGTGATAGATCGTTATATTATTAAGTTGCATGCATGCCTTGGGTCCCATCTCCATATTCCAGTTCTGCCATTTTCAGCATCCCATAATTTTAAAGAAAAGTATGCCAGTAACCCCTTGCATTATGAGCAAGGCACAAATCATGTATTGTTCATACCTTGTTTGTCTTCAACGGATAACTCAGTAGCTTTTATTATCCTTCCCAATGACTAGTGATCAGATTTCTGTTAAGGATATCATCACTTTAGTTAATGTGCTTTTGCATCGTAGTTAGTTCTCAGTTTGTTTAGAAAAACTAAATTGAAATGCTTCGGCACTAGGCCTTGCTCATTTGCTAGCTCCATATGATAGAAGTATCTTTTGATGATGATATAATTTTAGTAATGATTTGTGCAATACACTGCATTGTTTTTAAGGGTTTTGATTTTTGTTCACGTGATCTTGACTGGCTAGGCAATGTCTTCCTTAAACATGGTTCCGAACTGCGCTTGATCCCTCGTGACAGGGTTGGAGCTTCTGAATGTTGAAAACAGGATCATCATCAGACTTAAAAACCGGTCAATCTTTTTGCTTAATCTGTGTCTTGTTTACTTCTGTACCTGGTATCATAATTAAATATGAATTCAGATGAAATATAGCTACTACACATGGTCTTTAAAGTTAATCATAATGGAAAGGTCTCATTGCCCTTTTTCGTAGTCCTTTCTTTTCCATTTTGTGGAACCTTATTTGCATCGGAGATTTGAGCTTGGGCTTGATGATGATGAGTCAAAGGCCAGGTTGCTTCTAATCAAGGCCAACATAGATGCAGTGTTTTTATTATTGTTGTACCTTGAGTCAGATGATGGATCTAGTGTAACTTTTACGTGCCTCGTGGATGGGTTACCCGCATTGTTTTGTGGGACATTGCTACGAAATGAAAGGATTGCTCCTGGACTTGCCACATAGAAAACGTTATTTCTATTTCAGCATTATACATTTTTTCTGAGCTACCATGAAAGATATATGCACCCCCACCCACCACACCCACCCCCCCCCCCCCAAAGCAGGGGGGAATTCTAAAACGAATTGTTGTGGGTGTGGGGATGTGCATATATTATGACACGAGCATAATACATTGCAACCAGAGCAATGACTTGACAGAAATCCAAATTGCAGTTGTTATTGGTTGAAAATGATCGGTACCAAAAACCTTTTGCAGAGGTGTAGTAGTGAGCTGACTTTCTTGCTCTTTTCGGACCAAAGTGCGCTATACCTATACCCACATTGTGAGGATGATGTGACCTTGACGACCAAACCCTACAAGATAAGAGGTTTAATGGTAAATTTTATCTTTATTTTATTGTAATTTGGCAATTTTGGATTTACAGGATCAAATCTCATAATTTTAACCTGAAAAGTATTGAAAATTTGATAAATGTGATTCAAATTGTCTAATTTTTGTTATATGTATCGATTAACTAGGTTGATTGTTATTTGAAATGTCAAAATGATATTATTTTGGCATTTTGCTGTTAATTATGTTTTTTTTTTAAATGTTTTAAAAATATTTTTAGCCCTTGTAATCTTGAAATTATTTAATTTTTTTTTATAAAATATTGTAAACATTTTATAACAAAATTTTTTTATAATTTTTAAAATTAGGGGGTCAATCTTTAATTGTGATTATTTTAATTTATAAAAAAAAATTTAAGGTTTGAAATTGTGGATTGTTAATTATGTTTTTTTTTTAACAATAACATTTTATAAACAATAGTTTTTTTAAAAAAAAGTTCAAAATGAGGGGATAAAAAATATTTATAAATGTTTTTTTATATAATTTATAAATGAGATTTTATAAAAAAATTAAAATAATATCATTTTGACATACCAAGTAATTATCAATGTAGTTGACTGTTATATATAAGGTAGAGTGGATAATTTGAATTATATTTATCTAATTTTTAATATTTTGAAGTTGAAATTGTACAATATAATATTATAAGTTTAAAATTATCAAATCATAATAAAATAATAGCAAAATTTGTTATTAAACCTAAGATAATGTGTTACAATCTCACTCCCAAGCGAGGTCATGTTCCTCTTCAAGCACCCCGGAAAGCTTACATGTTAGATTTAACGTGTCATTTGCTTTCTAGCAAGTCGGTAAAAGACTAGAAAGGACAGAGAGGCGCCCTAAAGAGACGAGGCCCGCGACGGATGTGGTCGCAGTAGTGGCCGGTTCGTTGGGAGGTTGAGAGACCGGGGACAAGTGCATTTAGAGTCGCATTCAATTTTTTGCCTCTTAAAAATTGACAATTGAATCTGATCAGTGATACTGACCCCATCACATTCACTATCGTATTCATGTCTCTGGTAGGGTCAGTGTTTCCAGATACATTCGTCTCAATGGGAATTGTTTTTTCTCAATAGATATGGTGTTCGCAATATGTGACACGTGTTGCATTGCTAGATGGAACACGTGAACTACCGATGTTAGGGTAGAAGATTGAAGTTGCCTTTTGTTAGTTCAGGCCATACTGCAGCAGCGGCCATAAAATACTTCCGACTCTTTTTTCTGGATAAGTGATATATAGATTTCAAAAGTTTTGGAGGGAACGTTTTGTGATGTTAGCGAAGTTGGAATATGGATTATTGCTTGGTTCGTAAATCTCCTCTCTATTCTTGTTCGACTAGAATCGAGCTTGGAAGGCTGAAGTAAAAATTTGAAGTTCAGATTACAGGGTAGGGAAGGTAATAGATCAGGTACCTACCTGTCTTTAGCCTATTTTATATTCACCTCCAAATATCCAATCCATATTGGTTTACAGCATAAATTTTTGGATCTTATATCATTTATGCATGTTAGATCTTACTATCCCAGACCATCTATGCACGGTCGATCCTATGATCAGCATATAATCATCCCATCCATGTAATATGTAAAAGATAAATGGGTACATGCTCACAGGGGCGGGGATACGCATAACAGAAGGGGCACATTTCCCCCTCAATTTTTTTTTTTTAAGTAACAGTATTTTTTATATATATATTTAGACAGAATTTTATAGTTTATAGTCGCCGAAATAGCATCGGTGGTTAGCAGTGTAAAGGAATAATATCACAATACGAACTAAATTGATTATTATTTTAAAGCCGAAAGACTATTCTAAAATACTCTTATAATAGGATAAATTTTAAGCTAAGAAATATATGGAAAAAAGGTTCGCGCTAGTAACCTTCTTGCAAACGGTTTAGTACCAATAGACCAAAATCCTAATGTTACAACTCAAATCCCCTCTCCCTTTTCCTCTATACATCTACTTGTTTTCTGAAACTAGTCTCACAGTCCATAGTTAATTAAATATTAAAAGTAATACTATTTTGTGCAGTGATATTTAAAGAAATAGTGTTTTCATCTTTGCTTCTTTCCAGAAAAAAAATCCTCTCCTCTGTCTCATCTTCGAAAAGGAGACTAAGCTCTTCATCTTGAAAGCCTGCAACTCTATCCTTCACCTTCGTAGTCTTCATCCTTCATGTGATGTTTAATAATCAGGAATAAAATAATAAGAATAAAAATAAAAATTTTATTTCTATATTATAGTTGTTTAGTTGAAAAGAATGAAATGAGAATAAGATTGAACGGTGAAAATAAAAATAAAAATTACATACAACTACATTCTCATTTAAAATGTGAGAATAAAAATAAAAAATGAGAATATTTTTTTAAAAAAATAATAATATTTATTTATTTATTTATTGTCTATTAACTATTTTTATAATCACCACCACAAGCACCATCAAAACAATAGCCACCAGCGTCATAACTAAAATCACAGCTATCATCATCATTATCGTCACCATCACAAGCACTATTATCAAAACCATGATCACCATTACCACACCAAACACTATCACCATCATCGTCATCTTTATTATTTTACAACTATTATTTTTTAATTATTATTTTTATTTATATAAAAATTAGATATTAAAAAATTTATATTTTATTTAAAATTTATTATTATTATGTCTAACATAGTATGAGCCATACAAATATCATTTTGATTTTTATATTTTTATTTTAAAATTTTTATTTTTAATAACCAATCGACACCTTACTTCATTCTTAAAAACACACGGTGAAGTTTTATTTCTTCTTTTCTTTCCCACTGGCTTTTTCTTTCCCACTGGCTGAGCAGCTCGCACGATATGACAACTTATCTAATAAGCCGGGAGCGAGTTCATCGAGATGAAAAGAGAAATTAGCACTAACGAAATGGAATTGAGGGATCAATGTGGAGTCCAATTTGACGAAAGTAGCCTCTCAAAGTCCAAAAAACATTCTTAAACAACAGGGTAATTTGGTAAATGAATAGCCAAGTTAGACCAAAACGCCGCTTGGGATCCTAAAAGCGGGTAAAGCGCATGTCTCGGAGAGATTTAGGCCTTTTTCTTTTAATGTCTTTTGTGATTCATTCCGTCACGTGATCGTGTCACCTATCTTCCATCGCTACTTTACCATTCTATCCTTTCGTTTTATATCACCCTGTTCCACTGCCATAAATGTGTGGATGCTAGAACAGAACATAAACCCTCTTTGAAGTTTCAAGTGTGCGTATAAGCCATGTTCCCATCAACCCCAGCTAGCACGGTACATGTACATACATTGCCAGGTTATGTGTTTGTCCTAGTACAATGTTCTATGTAAGGTCCCGTCATTAATTTGTTGCCTCTCAAAATGATAGGAAAGTGACCGTGGAAGGCGACGTTCAGGTTGGATATCTTGTTAATAACGAGAAAATTATTAACCGAATATCTTTATAAGTCAAGTTATATGCGTATTGTTAATAAATATTCGGATCACCAGAAAAAAATTGATAGATTATTGCAATTCGTGATGAGTGGTTAAGATCTATTTGTAACTGATCAGTGAAATCTCAGACTTCAATTAGCAACAGGATTTTATGATCAGGTGAATGATTTTTCAAACATAATGCGATTGTAACTTAATTCAAATATTTTTAATGAGAAATTATTAGATATGGCGCCACGACTGGTACTCTTGTCTTTTTCTAAAAACATGAAATTTATTATAAAAAATTATATCATCAAGTGAAAAGGAAAAAAATATAATTTTTTAATATATTGAATAGCTCATCTCCTTTGACACCTCACTACGTCGCTGCTTTAATTATCTTAATTAGCTACATCAATCAACCATCGGTAGTCAAAATTTTTAGTTTGTCTCATCGCTGGAAGAAAAGGGTCTGATATATTACGAAAATTGTTATGTGCGGCCATCGAAAAAAAAATCAGATTTACTTTCCAGATCGATCAAATCAAAACATCAGATATTTTCCATAGTCTCTTCAGTGCATAGGTACCGGCGTAATCTTTACTGGTCCCCAGCTGAACTTCTCATTACGTTCTGCTTTATCTCAGATGTTGACCTACGGTCCTTGAGGACATGAGGATGAGGGTGCATTGTTTCGACCTCTCCATGTTTGTAGGAAAATTATTTCCGAAATATCGCGATTAGCTTTTCTGGTGGAAATATATGTAACATGTGCTTGACAGCCCATACGGCCGCATTCTTGTCCACAACTGTATTGTGCAGATCAGTATACACATCTTGTGTTAAATAAAGTAGTCTCCATGCCGTGTGTGCAATCCAAAGTATCACTTGGAAACCATGTGACCTATACTTGCCGTTATGATCGTTCTCAAAACTTATGAATTATTGGGCCGTTTCACATCGATATCGCTATCGATTTGATTTCTGTTTTTTTTTAAATTGTTCTCAACATTTTCACTGACTATACTATTTTTCAATTTTTTATCATCTTTCTTTTTATTTGGTGTTCCAACTTGCCATTATTCTCTGCTATTTATTGTTAAAAAAATATTTTTCAAAATTTTTAAAACAAAAACAAAAAAACGGCAACCTTATATGCGTATCAATAAAA